TATTCTTACAATAATAATCAATATCTTGATATATTTCTTCAATTTTTTCTTTGCCACAGGAAATATATCTTCAGACTTTTCAGGTAATTTAAATAAATACGAAATATCTTTCTCATCTAAGTATAATATGAGATTGTCATTAGAAGTGGATGTGGATACTTGTGAATTGTTCATCAGAATTTATCAGAGCATAAGTATGTAAAAGCAAGTAAATAACTTACAGTAATCAAATGGAAGTAAACAGGCTTTCCCTCCAATATGCTCTTATAGATGTTTTGCATGTACTTAATCAATTTTCTGAATCAAGTAAAGATTTAAAATATTTTTTGAAATCATTTGGGTCCACAACTGCTTTCGCAAAAGGCTTTTCAATTAAGGTTGCATTTCTCATTCTAGAGAACTAGCCGTGTTACCACAGACACTATCTCACAGTAACCAGAGTCTCTATATTCACCTTTATCCAAACTCTTTTCAGAATCAAGTTCTTACTTGGAACGAAATTTTAAAAGATAACTCACACATAAAGTGCTACAATTTTGTTAGAAAATTGCCTTTTTCCTCTAAACCATTCATCAAAGACGGGTACTTTGGCATGGCTAACATCCATTCAAAATCAATGTTTTGAAAATCTTTTAAAATCTCTATCTGTACTGTCGAGGAATAATGAGAAATTTAACGAAATCCTTTTATGAAAACTTTGTTTTAACATAACAAACTTTACTTTGATATTCATAAACTGAAATAGTACATGTTTACAATCTATATTTACATACTTTTGGTACTCACCTTATGAAGTTTAGAACTCCATAAGTGATTACTTTATTACAAGTTTTGCTATCTTCAAACTATCTAATATTTTTTTGAATACAAGTGGTGTATACAGATTACAAAAGATATATTTCTAAGATGTGTTTTCTTGAGAGTGTTTAAGAGATAAGTTGTTTCGAAATATCTTCCTTCTTCCTTCTTGCCTCCTTTTATAGAAGCCTTTGAGAATCTTATCTTGACAGGTGTTTTCCACTTCCTTTTGTTGGGTAGCTCAATAATGTTATCTTCACCGATTTTTCATTATCTTCTTGCTAGGTGGACCTCTTCTTTTGAAATTTTATGCCTTATCTTTGAATTTGTCTTCCACTTATGACAACTGGTGGGTGAGTAGTCACAATTATTGAGACTTTTACACTATCTTCTGTCTTTTAGTAGCCACAGTTTTTCTTTAATAAATTTCTTTACCAAAGTAGTGATAAAGGGCCACTTTTTGTCACCATCACTTTTCCATTTTTGAATCAAAGAATTCTACAGGGAATTCTTCACTGTTGAGAGATGCTTAACTCATATCTTCAACTATGCAGTATTTACAATGGTGATCACTGTAGTTCCAGAGTAATTTGCACAGTTCTTTAGCCATATCTTTTGATCCATGTACTTGGTTGGAGATAATTGCAGATAATAAATGATCGAGATAACAAATATCTTCTTCTTTTGTAGTCATCCTTGCATTGGAGTAGATAATATGGTTTTCAGGAGGATAAACCCATATTTTTTCTTTTTTCAGTAATTATCTGAGTTACATGTTCAAATATTTCTTTGTACCATTTTGCTCTTCTGTAGGGCATCATATTTAAAATATCTTGATATCCATTTTTAACAACCTTTTGACTGGTTGGTAAAAAAATGTTGGTTTATAAGCCCCATTTTGATAACATGGAACGATGGATGCATATATTCAAGAACGGGATCCCATTCCATAGTTGCTGAATGGAATCTGATGTATATATTTGTTATCTTGACGATTTCAGTATATCTTTTGACAGCTTTCCTGATGTTAACTGAAAGTTGGGCTATTTCTTTGAGATCTTTGTTGGGATATATACAGAGCATATTTCCTATCTCAAAGCAGTTTTGTACCCAATTGGCTGGTGCTTTTGAATAGAAATTTATCTTGTTGTATTTTGTATAGTGGAGAATTTTTATCCACTTTCCTATTTCCAGATACCAATCTGATAGAACATTAAAAATAACAATAAAGAACATAACTTCTTCATGGTTATCTTTTCTGGAAATTTTTGTTTTATGGCATATCTTGACAATATCTTTTGGATATATTCTTTCAATAGAAAGTTTAGATTGAGTTTGACTCTGTGATGAGCTACCTTCACTTTTGATATCTTGAATATCTTCCTCAGTGGGAATTTTTGTATCTTCATTACCAGTAATAAGCTTAAATATTCCCTATGAAGGGGTTCCTATTACCTTCTTCTCTTTCCCTTTATCCTCGGGGAGAGCGCTAGTATTCACAAGTCTCTGCGAAGGGATACTAGACTTGGTACAAATTACTTCTGCCTCAAGGGCTATATTTTTGCTTTGAAGGCTATCTTGAATATTTTGAATTTGTGTTTTCAAATAGGAAACTTTTAT